CAACTATATCAAGGAATTTGGAGAAAGATCGAAAGGTTGATCATAGTAGAGCTGTGTATAAAAATCGATGATAGATGAGATATAGATATCTCAGAACAAACTCCAAAAGAAGTGTTTTTAGGACAGGATGCAGCTGAGACACTTAGCAAGAGAAAGTTACATATTCGAGGTTTAACAAATAACTAGCTCACAATAAGTATTAAAGAAATATTAGAATTAGCCTCCAAGACCAACAAGGCAATAAGTTGGTTCTCTGAACTATTCTGGTCTATTTTCTTCAAAAAACTATGGAAATTTCAGTGCAAAATTATGCTAGAATGGGAAGAGAGAAATAATATCAAGTTTAAAGAAAAAAGGAAAAAAGCAAAATGAAAGAGTAATAAACTCGGAAAAGAAAATATAGCAAATAAAGAAAACCAGAATTTAAGCAGAAACAACTATGAAGAATCAAGTAAAGGCAAGGAGAAGAGAATTCAAAACCTAGCTGAAGCTAAAGTAAAGACATGGATTGAAAAAGGCTTAAAGGAAAGTTAGTTAAGTTTCAAAAATAACTAAAGTATCTTGAATAGGCACAGAGGAGCCTTCTATAGATCACTAGAGTATGAATTTGCTTAGGCAAACTGTTCTAGTAGGAGGAAAATCACTTTTGTGGCTGATCATACTTGGGCATCTAGGGTAGCTGAGTGAGTCTGGAATTGGAAAAAAAGGCAGTTATATAGTTAACATAAATTAGTTTTATTTCTGTTGTAACATTATGTATGTTTTCTCTTAATAAATGAAAGGCAAGATCATCTAAGTTATAAAAAAAGAATTAAAGACAAGTCTTCAGGTTAAAAAAGAAAACAGATAAATGATGAAATTATTTATTATCAGGTAAAAACATAGTGTGATGATATGCATTTCTTTTTAAAAACAATATTTTATCTACCAAGTTAGGATCAAGACGAGTTCTTCTAGCAGAAATATGAATGTTTGCATTAGAAAATAGACATTCTGATAGAACTGATATAGCAGGTATAGACAGATATTTACAAGCAAGTTGACTAAAGAATGAAAAGCTTTTATATCTATTTTCTTACTATATTAAAGGATTATGATTTTTATTAGCTACTGATTCTTTCATGTATTAGGTGAATTCATCTTCATCAGTAACATTATCAGGTATTGACAATGATCCCTATAATTCAGCACTTAGAGAATCTTGAGGATCTTCACTAATAGGTACTATACCTCTTTCTATTTCAGCACTACTTAAAATATTTATTTATTTTTAAATGACAATAATTTAGTATGAACTTGGACTTCAGTTTCTTTCTGTTCTTGAGTTGTAGCAAATGGGAGTAATTTTAATACTCAAGGGTCTAAAATAGAAGCCTTTAAACCTATTATATTAGATGAATTCTATAATTCATTAATAGACAAAAAAATAGCAGCTCAGGCTCTTTCTAATAGCCTAGAACAATTTACAGATAATAAATATTCTATAGAATTAGAATCTTCTAATTCTGTAAGTGTTATTTTTTTTTACTTTTTTTTTTATTTTTACTTTTTTTATTACTTGCATGACTTTTATTATGATACACACTTCAATATACATACTGCCATTGTTGACAATTTCCTGCTAATAGTATATCAGCTTTGTTGTCACTACTAAGACTTGAATTATTACTAGTATCTGAATCTTCTGAGCTATAAATTAGGGTAACTCAAGCTTTATATGATTTACTATTTTTACTTTTAGACATGAATTTATTTTTTAAAGCTCGAATATAGGGGTATACAAAATTCAAAGTAGGATATTTTGATTCACAAATGTGTCTTGTAATCTTTTCAAATAGTTTTAAGAGATTAATTATTTGTTCTGTAGCTTTTTTTTTTTAAAAAAAATATATAAGTGTATATAATTTTTTGTGTTAACTATACTTGTTATCTGAAACTTTCTTGCTAAAATTTGAAAGTTTCAGGTTTCAGATTATACTGTTAACCTATAAAATATTAAGCAAAAACACAAAATCCTTAATAACTTTTGATCCACCAGTCCGAATTGGATATAATATATACTATTGGAATCAGCTCATTGGAGCGGATCTAATGAGCCAAGAAACATTAAAATCCAATTACTGGATCCCTAGATAATAAAGTTCTGGCTTTTTTACAATAATCATGAAATCTGATCAACTGATGATTACTGCAGAAAATTCGTTACATATACCATATCTATTACCTATAGTTTTTGAGACACTTATATTATTTATCATATATATATCACATATTATATTTATTTTATTTATTATACATGTATTAGTTATATTATATATTTTATTAGTGATAGTTATAACATATATAGCTCTTGTAATATATATAGTCTGTTACATTTCTAATTTTTTGTAAAGTATAAAAGCAGCATATGTAGACCTTGATTTTATTATCGAGTCTTCACACTCTTTTACAATAAAAGTAATATTCTGATACTTTAAAATAAATATTTATTGATATCTTCATATATCTTTAATTGTTACCTCTTTCATAATTGCAAATTA